TTTCAGATTTGTGCATTCCTCTAATCAAATGAGATTAAAAAAATCTTATGATTAAAAATATTCTACGTGAGCCCTGTATTATTATTTTCTTATTAGATCTTGCTTTCTTAACAATTTATTCTGCTGTGTGTGTGCAGATTCTGAAAGGTTGCAGAGACTGTAACTGCATAGGTTAGATTTTAACTGTGGTCTTCCCTCTTTAATAGGTATTTTTCGGTCCCTGGTCCTGTAGGTGGGGAGGGTGGACCCCCTCTGAGATGCTGTGCAGCGGGGAAGGTTTATGTCCTCGTGGTCTTTTCCTGCTCCTGCCCTGCTTAGCAGACACACCTGCTTGTGGCCCTGCTTATGTTTCCCTGTTCGGCGTCAAGTCAGCATAGGTGAGGCATTCAGTTTTTAAATAAACTGTCACTAGTGGACCACCTTCTCTCTCTCCACACAAGAAATTGGTGTGTGAATGTAGTAGGTTACTTTGAAGGTTGGAGAGGCAGGTGAGAGAGGAATATTACAGAAGGGCAAACACATTAAACACTAAGATATTAAAATACTTGCTTTTCCCTGCTCTTCAGTGGTCCCGTGACCCAGGTGTTTGGCTGCTCTGCTTTGCCTTAGTTGGCCAGCTGGATCTCCCCTTCTCTCTTCTCTTTCTTCAGCTCACCTTCCCTCTCCTCCCCTTTCACACCCTTTCCTCACCCTCTCCTTTGACTGCACCCACATCCTATATTTTGTGGTGCAAGATATTTCAGCTGGCTCCACCGTGCTCCCCAAACTCAGCTATTTTCCAGCTTTGCATATTACAATTTATCAAAGTGCTCGACCTGAACAGGGTCCACCCCTCCCAAAGAGGCAGTTGGTTGAACAAAAAGATTGTTTTGAGTGTTGTTTTGTTTTGGTCATTAGAATAGAATATCAAAATGCTGAAGAGTTTGTAATAATTATACCATGTTTGTATAACTTTGTGCACCAATAGCTTCTGAGGTAGTAACAGATGGGCCATGAGAAATCCAATTTGGGTGAATTAATAGCTAAAATTAGAGATTAAAGCGTGAGGTTCAGAATTTATGTTCATGTGCTAGAAATAAAAGCAGTACAGTAATTAAACTCCAGAGAGGATAGATTAAAATAAAATAACATTTGAATGATAATTAGAATTTTAATTTTAAGTAGGCTAGACTATCCAATAGATATTGCTTGTCTAATATAATTTCACAACTTCTGACTTTATAAAAAAAACTCATTTTAACGTTAACTTTCAAACTTACAGAACTATTTAAAATAATGCAGTAGTTCTGTTTTTTTTACATCCTGACTATCTTATTTTCCTGGCTTTAATTAGAGTCCCAGAAAGCAGGCCTTTTATTCCTTCACATTTACTCTCTTTAACTTACCTCCCTTGCATTTTTTTTCCTTCAGTTTGAGATCTTTGTGCTTCATAATATAATGAGTGGCTGTCTATTGAAACCTGACATTTTGAGTTATATAATGAGACTCTGGATCTTATTTACACCTTCTGTCTTAACTGGATTCCTCTGATCTTGCACCAGTAGGAAAGTGGGGGTGCCACCTCATTACCCAGGCTCCCCTCCCAGTCTCCATTGACAGGTGAAGGGATTGGACTCCTTATTAGTGCTGATGGGGTGGGAGTTCCAGCACTCCACTAGGCCTCCACTGATGCTTCCGTGGCTGGGGAAGATCCATGTGCCTCGTTACTTCTCCCCGCATGGCTTCTACTGATGGCGGGGCGGGGAGTGAAAGTCCTGACTCTCTACTAGGCCTCCTGTGACACCACATCTGTGGGAAGCGGAGGGCACCTTGTTATTTCTTTGTGGAGGTAGAATTCCGTCTCCCCACCTGGCCTCCACTGGCGCTGCCAAGGGGGTGGGTGCTAAAGCCTTGTCTTCTTTGACACCACCCTAGTGAGCAGGTGCTTATTACAGCCTGGTGAGGGTGGGGGTCTAGGTTCCCTACTTGGCCTTTGCTCGTGTGGGGCCACAGTTTTTTTTCAGGGGTGTTTGGCTGGGGTAGAGCAGTTATTGTCTACAAGTTTTAGCCTTGCTACTCAGACTCTTACCTTTTCCTTTAGACAGATAGAGCTAACTGTTGGTTTTTTTTTGTCTGTTCTTATTGGTGTTCCTTGGTTACTGGAATCTGCAGAGACAGGTCTGCCCCACCCGCAAACAACTCGGGGACCTCACTGCCGTGGGCTGCTCATCCCCAGTGTCCCTGCGTGGTCCGCCTCCTCCCCCTGGCCTTTCGGAGCCTTCTTATGTTTGTGTTTATGTACAGGGTGGGGCAAAAATAGGTTTACAGTTGCTCGTATGGACTATAATACAATACAGCGACTAATAAGTAATAATACAGGAATAAACTCAGTGTTTCACATGCTCTCAGCTGTAAACCTACTTCCCCCACCCTCTATAATGTCCAGTATTTTTAATTGTACTTAGTAGGAGGAAGAGGGAAGAGCACATTTACTGCGTAATCACTGATACAAAAGTCCCAAAAAACAAGATTTATCTTATTGTTCATTTTTGGTCTTTTTTTAAAACTAAATTCAGAAGACAATGACCAACCCTCTAAAGACACTAGAAAACAATTTGCATAGTCCGGGTTACTCTGTGAAAGATTCCTTTAAATGTGACATAAAACGTGTACAGAAATAAGTGACCAAAGAAACCAGTTCCAGGAATGAAGACGTCTTAGGAAGTTGATGCTACATAAATAATTTTTCTTGAACATTATAATTTATGTATATTTGAGCTCCTCGGTAATGACATGTAATTACGTTGTATCATTTAAATTGTTATGTCTATTGTATCGAGCAGTGGGAGCCATAGATATTCTTCTATTAAAAGAAAAAGCGATACCTGCATTTCGTAACACATCCAGTGACTTCAGAATATTTAGAGTGAAACTGTCCCCGTCCCAGTGCCCTCAGCCGCCAGCCGCGCATGGCCCAGCGTCAGCCTGTGTGCCCGCCAGCCG